GGGGGTGCTGAGCAAGCCACGCGTGGGGGGTGCACACGTTACGGGGGTGCTGGGCACTTCATGGCGGGTGGGCACCCCTGGGGTTAAGGCGTGGTCGGGTAGGGGGGGGGGGTCAGGAGGATGCTTGAGGACCACGGTGGGGGTGAGGTGCGATGGGGAGGGTGCTGAGCGCCCGTTTTGGGGGTCCTGGGTGTCCATAGGGGGGCTGAGCCCCTCCTGGGGGGTGCACAGAGCACAGGATGCCCCCCCAGATAACACCCCCTACTCCCTCCCTCCTTCCCAGTTCTCCCATGGCCAAGCCGGGACACTCCTGGAGCCGTGCACCAGCGGGGAAGGAGGAGGATGAGGAGGGTGAGGACCCCCTGGATGCCAGGATCGCCCGGACGGGCTGCCTGGAGCAGCACCGGGAGCTGCAGGAGTGCATGGAACAGCACCGGGATTGGCGGCACTGCCAGACACAGCTCCGGGCATTCGGAGCCTGCATGGCCCGGCGGGACCAGCGGGAACAGGGACAGAGCCGGGCACACCCTGCACAGTGACACCACTCGGGACCCCCAGGAATGGGGGAGCTGTGCCTTTCACCCCCCTTTTTTTGCGTGATTTTTTTTTTTTTTACCCAAGTGCCAGGAAATCCACGTGGGAAATTAAATCTGGGAATTTAATCGTCTTCATCGGTACCTGCAGCAAAGCGGGAAGGGCAGAGGGGTTTGGAGGATGTGGCCTCAATCTGCACCAGGCTGGACATCAGGAGGAATTTTTTCATGGAAAGGGTGATCAGGCATTGGAAGGGGCTGCCCAGGGAGGTGGTGGAGTCCCCATCCCTGAAAGTTTTTAAGGAAAGACTGGACGTGGCACTCAGTGCTTTGGGCTGGGGACAAGGTGGGGACTGGCCACAGGGTGAACTCAGTGATCCCAGAGGGCTTTTCCAACCTTAATGATTCCCTGGTTGTGGATTTCCAGCCCCAAATGTCCCTGGCTCCACAACAGCCCTGCCATGGATTTCCACTCCACGTCCCAAGGCTTTTCCCAGCACCAATAACCTCCTGTCCCACCGAATGGGATTTTGGGGATGAGATTTATCTCCAGGGAAGCCCCAGGATAATTAGGAGTGGGGGAAAAAAGGATCCTCCTCTGTCTACCACTTCCTGGCAAATAAGGCAAGAGAAACAAAGCAAAATTGCCTTTTGGAGGCTGGAAAGGGAAGGACATCCCTGGCTTTTGCCAGAAGGAACTTCCCAGGCTGTTCCCCAGAAAGGTGGGTGCTGGGTTCCCCAAAATTACAGCAGGATCAGGAGCACAAGCAACACCTGGACAGCCCCAGTTTGGGGGAGAGTGTTATATGAGTTACCCTCCCTGTGTTTAGTGGAAGGTCCTTAAAAAGTGGGGAAAAAAACTTCCAAACAAACCAGTTTGGAATAGTTTTCTCTTGGAATCCACCAAATCTGCTTAGAACAGAATTCCTGGGATTGTTGCAGCACAGCATTATTCACCTGCAGAGATTTCTGCAGAAATTCCCACCTGTCAAAAGCAGAACAGGAATAAAAGAATAAGGAAGAACTGAAGGAATGTAAAGCCACATTCCATAGTGTGGAATTCCATTGCTCCCAGTACAAACCAGTCAGGTATAAACACATTATTCATCTTTATTGAGACAACCAACAGTGGGAATTCTTCCAATTCACCGAGTTCTCAGCACAGTGCTCATGGAATCCCCTTCTGGAGGCTGGAGCAGCCCCTGGATGGAGCAGTTTTCCTCACTCAGCCTATCTGTGCCAGCAGCTCTTCCAGCTCTGGCCGAGCCTTCAATCTGCTCTTGAAGTCGGCTTCTGTGTGCTGTGGAGGGAGGGAAAACCATCCAAGGAAATCAGGATTAACAGGAAAAACTAAAGGCTGAAATGCCCTGGGAGTGGGAAGTCACTCAGTGCTGGAAAACTGTTGGGCTTCTCACAAAACCCAAGTTTACCCCCCCACTCCAGAGGGAATTCCATCAAAACAGGGCACAGCGTTTGGGTTTCCTGTCTCAGCTTTGCTCCCAACTGTTCCATGAAGCTCCTGGGCATTCCAGGACAAGTGGTGGAGCAATGCTGGAGTGAAACATGCCCTTTGGACTCACGGGGAATGCGTGGCAGCAAAGGAAAGGAACCTGCAACCTGCCATCTCCTGTGGATCTGTGGGACTGGCTGGGAAGTGGCACCAATTAGAGGAGGCTAAATGGGGAAGGAAGTGCTCCTCAGGAATTGGAAGCAGTGGGTTTTCATGGAGAAGGGAGGGCCTGGCTCTGGGAGATCCTGGATACCCTAAGCCCAGAGCAGGAGCAGCCTCAGGGCCAGGTCTGGATCCTCAAAGGAAATTCCTGACATGGATCATCTCTGCTTCCTGAAAGGAAGGGCACTGGGAAATGCAAACATACCTGTTTGATGAGGAGATGGACCCCCTCGGGCTGGTTACTCTGGATAACCTCCAGGAGTATTGGAGCAAATGTGGAACTCAAACCACTGATCTGAGGGAAGGAATGACATAGCTCCAGGACAACCATCCCAGGACAGTTTGGGTTGGAAGGGACATTAAACATCATCCCATTCCACCCCCTGCCACAGGCAGGGACACCTTCCACTAGCCCAGGTTGCTCCAACCTGGCCTTGAACACTTCCAGGGACCCGGGGGCAGCCACAGCTTCTCTGGGAAAACCATTCCAGGGCCTCACCCCCCTCACAGGGAAGAATTTCTTCCCCATATCCCATCTAACCCTGTGCTTTGTCCACGTGAAGCCATTCCCCCTTGTCCTGTCCCTCCATCCCTTGTCCCCAGTCCCTCTCCAGCTCTCCTGGAGCCCCTTTAGGCCCTGGAAGGGGCTCTGGGGTCTTTTGAAGCTGTTCCTAACAGTATTTTTAAATTTCATGGAATTTTTCCAATCATCCATCCTTAAACATGGCTTTTCTACCTCTTGTATGGAGCATTCTGCAGAAAATAGGTAATAAATGTGGTGCCTGAAATTACATAAAGCCAGGAAACCTCTTCCTGCTTCCACTTTGGGGGGAACTTTCAGTAAGAGATCAAATTAAGACTTTATGCCCAAATTACACCTTTCAGCTCCAACAGTGGAGGGGTTTGGAGAGCCTGTGCTGCAGGAGAACCACAGGAATATCAGGAAACAGCAGTTCCTACCTGGACAACCCTCTGGTGGGTGGTAAGGACTGCATCCAGCTGCATCTTGGATCCTTTCTCTTCCAGGAACAGCACCTCGTTGGTTTTGGTGGGCATGGCATAGCTGGGGGAGCCAGAGGGCAGAGCTTAGGACAGGCAGGACATTCCAGAGACCTCAGCATCCCTATCCCCATTTCCACAGCACCAATTACATCCTTCTGCACACCTTTTCCACTAAAATTTTCACTCCAAGGGCAAATCCTTCCTTTCTGGACACACTGAACCAGGTCCAACCTCAGAGGGCGGAACTGAAAATCCACATTTTGGAGAATCCACCACTGTTTTCATTCCCTCATGGCAACTCAGGGCTTCTCCCAGTGCCTGCAGCTCCTTGGGAGCACTTCAGCACTGAGGCGTTTCCTTACATCCCTCAGGCATTAAATCCCAAGCTGCTGTTGGGATAATCCTGTTTGGGATCTAGTGTTTACCTAAAGCATCCTCTGCTCCCAAAGTGAAGCAGCAGGAAGCTCATCCAGCACCTCAAGGGCTTTCCCAAGTTCATTCCAGTTTGGATCACCAACATCACTCACTGCACAGAGCCTGGATCAAACACCATGAAGGAAAACCAGCAGGAAATGTCAGCAATACTTAAGCCAGATTTAAAGCCTTAAACAATAACATTAAACCCAGAGGCTTAAAGCCTTTCTTCAGAGGAATGAGATGGAGCCAGGTATTTTTTTCCTTGCTGGAACAAGCCCACTTGAACCTTTCTCGTGAATAAACACACAAAACTGCAGGAACACAGAAAGAGAACAGGGGGTGGAGGAGAGGTTTGGATTTACATCCACGTGGGAATCAGAAGGACTGGATGGTGGCCCTGGTCTCCAAGGTGTCCCTTACCTCTCGTTGACCTTGATGGAGAGCCTGTTGCAGAGCCTGTGGACATACTGGGCAAAGTGCTCCACCAGGCACATGTCATAGGAAGTCATCTGGATGTTGACATCTCCATATTCAAACTCAGTGCCAGGATTGATCTCCTTCATCTGCACTCTGTCCTTTTTCTTCTTTGGAGTCTGTTTTCCAAAATAAAATAAAACAGGGAGTTTGAGCGACGCTGGAAATAAATCCCCGCCGGGTTTCCTGTGGGGCTTCTCCTCTGACAGGGGTTTGTCAGCCACATCCCAGCCCATCTGTGCTCCCTCTCCCTGCCTAAAAACTGGGATGGCATTATCCTGACAGCTCTTCTCAGCTCTCAGTTCTTGCATGGCAGCACCACAGGAAAAATATCCCAGAGAAAACACGTCCGTATTTTTAATTTCTTCCAGAGAAAATTAATTTCTCCCAGAGGTAAAAAAAAAAAAAAAAAAAAAAAGGGAGTAGAAACAGCAGGAGTACAACTCCTTTTTCTTTCAGGTCCTGTCCACAAGGCAGCTGGCTTGGTGGTGTTTTCTCCTTCCACAAAAAGTGGTTGTCTTTCCAGGGAATGTCAAAAGGTGACATGAAAACAGGACCTGCTCACAATAATTCAGGTGTGAAATTCAGCAGGAGGAAGAAATTTCTCCCTCCCAAGGGAATTTCCACAGGAATGTGCTGGACAAAATGAAGGCTGTGAGCGGGGGAACTTCATGGAATCATGGAATGGTTTGGGTTGGAAGGCATTTTAAAGCTCATCCAGTGCCATTCCCAACCTTCTGCTATCCAGGGTGCTCCAACCTGGCCTTGGGCACTCCGAGGGATGGGGCAGCCACAGCTTCTCTGGGAATTTCATCCCAGCCCCTCACCACCCTCATAGGGAAGAATTCCTTCCCAATATCCCATCTAAACCCTGTGTTTTGTCCATGTGAATCCATGCCCCTTGTCCTGTCCCTCCAGGAACGTCACACAACACTTTTCCCCAAGAGAAGCAGCAGGAAATGATGCCATTATTCCCTCTGGATGTGATTTATCAGCCATGGAATTCATAAAATAATTCCTTCTGCCTACCTCTGGTGGGAGCAGGTATTTATACCTCCCAATTCCATGAGCAGGATGGGATCTGTAGGATCTGTGGCAACTCAGGAGAGCAGCACCTGGAAATGGAAGCCAAATTCCTGCCCCAACTCACAGCTCGGTGTGGGCAGCCACAAATAAGGAAGGAAGAGATTAAAAATATTCACTTCTCAGGTGAACTCTCAAGGAAACAACAAGAAAGAATAAAAGAGGCTGTGGGTAGTTTGGGAGACCAGGAAAATGTTACAAAAAAAGAAGAAAATGTTAGGAAAGAACATATGGAAGTGGAAGAGCATCAGCTCAGGTTATTTAACCAGCCCAAAATTGGCTAAAAACCCCCTAAAATTAAAAGGAAACACAAATTCTCCATTTATTTGGATTAACAACAGACTTTACCTGCAGTACACAGATGGTTTTCTCTGGGTGTTGCTGCTCTGGAGGAAACAAGACAATGATTAAAAGCTCTGTAAGAAACAAGATAATTATTAAAGGCTGTGATTTCCTCCACCCATGGAAAAATATGTGGCAAATCTC